TATCAATCAAGTGAAACAAAACCAGAAATATGCCCACCAACAGGGCAATCATTCCCGACACGACCGAGCTTATTACATCACATTGAGTTCATGCAACCTAATCCGTGCATCTATCACCAAATATGCAAAAGGTTATATGAACCACACCTTCACCATCGATCCCTACCTCTTTGATCCAGACATCCCACACGTAAATATCAATCAATACTCTTGCACATATCTACAATCATCTACATCCACAATGCCAACCGCCATCGTCACCGGCGCAACAGGTAAGTACCTTACCAATTCCATATACCATTCATTCTAATCATTGAAATAACAGGCATCCTCGGCCGCGAAATAATCACTCACCTTTCCAAACTTCCCGACTGGACAAGCATCTACGCCCTCTCCCGCAGCAAGAAGGATACCTACCCAGCACAAGTCCACCACGCCAGCATCGACCTCCTCGCCTCACCCAACGACCTAGCCAATCAACTCTCTTCCCAAAATGTTTCCGCAGACTACCTCTTCTTCACCGCATACCTCCAAGAAGGCGACGAAAAGAACCTCGAACGACTTAACGGCGATATGCTCGAGAACTTCCTAAAAGCGCTGAGCATTAGCGGTGCAGAAACAAAGCTCAAGCGCGTGTTGCTAGTTACAGGGGCAAAGCACTACGGAGTACATTTGGGGCCGGTGAAAAACCCGATGGAAGAGAGTGATCCGTGGGTGGAGGGGGAGGGAAGGCCACCGAACTTCTATTACAGACAGCAGAGGATACTGAAGGATATGAGTAAGGGGAAGGGATGGGATTGGGTGGTTACATATCCCAATGATGTTATTGGGGTTGCTAAGGGTGAGTACTACCTTTTATTCTCCTCTTATGTATTTTGTATGATTATCACACTGCTGATGACGATGGCCAGGAAATTTCATGAACCTCGTAACAGCAGTTGGACTCTACGCGGCCATTACCAAGGAACTCAACGCACCATTCACCTTCCCCGGGTCGCGCACTTTCTACACCATGACTGACTGCTTCACGTACTCCCGCTTCCATGCCCGCTTCTGCGCATGGGCAATCACCGAGCCTCGCTGCTCGAATCAGAATTTCAATGTGGTGAACGGCGATGCGCAGTCCTGGCAGACCATGTGGCCTCGACTAGCGAAGCGGTTCGGGCTCACTGTTCCAGCGGATCAGTTCGAGGCGGAGGATGAGAATGTTGTTCCGCTGATTGATAACCCCCCATTGAATGATTACGTGCAGACAAGTGGACTTAAGGGCAAGGTTAAGAAGGGTGAGGTACGGATGCGCATTGATCTGACCAAGTGGGCGGAGAGAGACGATGTGAAGGCTGCGTGGGAGAGGTTGGCGAAGAGGGAGGGGCTAGAGAAGGATGCGTTCGAGAAGGCGACGTGGTTCTTCTTGAACTTTGTGCTGGGGAGAAATTACGACCTGGTGATTAGTATGAATAAGGCGTGGAAGCTGGGATTCCGCGATTGGGAGGATACTTGGGATGCGTTGGATGGATGCTTGAGTGAGTTGGAGGAGGAGAAGGTTTTGCCGAAGAGTGGGAAAAACTGAAAGCGTACAAACCAAACAGTCAATCTTCGTCGTTAGGATTGTCAAGATGTGTGTGGATGTGGATTGGCTTGCTCTCGCTGAAAGTAATTTCGCATACTAACGGACAAACATCTGCCACCGTCATACTTACTACTACTATTACTACCATCAATTAAAAGTAAATGACCCCAATATTAGTTCAATCTGTATTTCCGTAAACAAAGTACATATAAAACATGGCAACCATTTATGTTAATCCTAACATGGACACCTCACACTCTGTGTCTTGCAACCTGACGAGTACGAACCCCCCAATAGTATATAGCAGTATCCTTCAACCAACCCACAGTTTATAGACCCAGGAACAAGTCTACTCACTATACGCCATATACTCATCCCCACCAGCCTCAAGAGTATACTCATTCCCGGGGTCAATATACTCATACCCACCCTCCACATCGCCCACCCGGATCTCCCTTAGCCCAACCTCCTTCTTCACCACATCCAGACTCTCCAGCGCCGACTCAACATCCATCATAGCCTCCACACAGGAGCTACCATCTTCCGCGCATTGAACACAGTCCATCAGAGACTGATGCAGCGACAACAAGGCGTCTTTCGCCTTATCGAGTTGGTCTATAGCCCCCTGTGAGTCGGAGATCTGTGACGAGATCAACGCAGGTCCGATCAGATGCACGAAGTGATTGAACTCGACCAGGCAGTTCTGGGCCCATTGGTCTTTGTAGAGGTCAGGGAAGGTGAGGCATTTGTGGAATGCTAGCTTGCACATGTGGAAGAGATTCGGGATCGTGTGGTCGGTGGTGGACATGTCGGTGTCGGTTGAAGGATGGCGTGTGATTTTTCGGGTGATGGTGATTCTGATTAGGCACATGTGTGTGTGTGTGTGTGGAGTGAGTTTATGTATATAGATGATGGCTTGGGGTGCAGGTGTGAGGTTGGTTGATATGATTGAAGAGCTGGGGATGATGAGGGTGTATATATAGATGTGAGTGAGGGTTGGATTCACTGGGCTACGTGGGTGGACCCGGTCTGGGGTAGGCTGTATTCATTGGTATATGTTGCTGGGGTAGTGGGATCTTTCATTGTTTGAAAGTGGCGGCCGACGTGAGGTTTATGTGGTAGCTGTCTATTTAGCCACTGTGGTCGAATAAGTCTATTGTTTCGATCTCTTCCGGTCAGGAAAACAGTGGCGGAGATTACCTTGCATCAAGATCACGATATGTGGATACTTTCTATAGCTGGTAAGGGTACCTCCGTTGAGTATTGGAATTTCCCGGTCAAGTAATGGGGCTTGTGATCTCAGGGAAGTATAAATACCCCCCTACCCGCTTAGACTTTTGTGGCTGGATCAGGAACACAACAATAGAGGAACAAGCCTGAAAAGGCAGCCTTCTAGTTCCTCTCATGCATTCATTATAGTATACACCCGTCGATGCAAAACTATGACTGTATCAAAAGTCAATAGTCAGTCACTATAGAAATTGTCGGCAATCAAAAGATGCTGGCAAACAGGGCGCAAGCCTGTGACTCTGAACGAGTGTACTGGGCTCCTTCATCGCTCAAAGTCTTCACGGTACATTCAGAAAAAGTCCATCAAATGCTATCGTTTGCTATAACGTCTAGAAATGTCCAGGCTTGAGGGCTTTGGATATGATCACTGAGACTGAGGCTGATGGGGCAGGCAAGGAACATCAAGGCTGTTTTGTCTCGCTTGGAAGAAAGGAATCAGATTTAGGATGGGTTACACGCACTGAAAACTTCCTGAAAACAAGCTATACCATTTATATATATTCTTCTGCAGCAATGAGGACGAGGGGCCACTGGAAGCCAACCATATTCTTGCTTCCAGCCAGAATCCAGCTGCGTCTCTGGGGCTGTCTTGAATACCTCAAAAAAACCGGTGGGCAAGTCTAATCATCTGAGTTTTCAGAGGAGGTGTGCTAAGAGCAACGCATTCGTGCTGTTATCTTGGATACCGTATATAATCTATTTGCTCCTCTTCACAGAACCAAGACGGACTGAATTGCTCGAAGAGGTACACATGTTCAGTGCTGTGTCTGAGACACCCTCGATAATCCCGAGCACAACTTTGGCTATGACGACATGTATGTTGTCCTCTGTCGTTGATCAACTAATAACCAAGGTCTCAGGAAAGGCCCCAGAGATGATACGTCGTTCACCACGGATATTGCTTCCTTGTTCTTCTTGTGCCGATATAGAAGAAGGAAATCCGGTGATAGATTGAATCTACACCAACTATTTATATTAAGGAACTTGGATGTTGGAGAGAAGTTCAACAAGGCTCGAGCTAGCCAATGGATGTAATCTCATCCTCCTGGACAGTGTTGTTTGGTCGTTCACCACGGATAATGCTTCCCTTTTCTTCTTTGCCAATGAAGAGAAAGAATATCCGGTGGTAGGCTGCATCCAACTTCGGCATAGACCGGGGTTTCCGAAACAGATGACGAGGTTGGAGGAGCACTCGACAAAATCGAGATAGCAACAGTTGGAGATGATATTGAACACCTGGCCGGTGTGGGTAGCATCACGTAAGGTTTGGGTTAGACGGAGCCCTCCAGCGGTGGTAAATGGATACTACGCCACCATATATATAATAAGGGAACTTTCAGGATATCGAACCGCTTAATGGTCCTGGTTTTCACCTGTCCGTGGGACTCTGAGCTCGCAGCTAGCAAATAATATTTCCCTCTGAGCTGAAATCATGCCTCTTCCAGTCGACACCCTCAGCAAATCTGGGAAACATTCATCTCTGGATTCTACTCATCATCGCAAACATCCATGAGATGTGAATCCTTCTTGACGATGAACCATTCGCCTTACCAAGTCTTGATGATGAAGCCTGCGCGTGACCTACGATTTTGCATCGACTATCGAAAGCTGAATGCTATCACTAAGAAAGAACTGCACCATTGCCGATCGGACGGCCTGAGTACTCACGCTCGATGAAAAAGTGACCTCTTCTACAGCAGGTGGTTACAGTCAAGTACAAACCTCTTTACCAATCGGAACCATACCTTATGGACTTTCAATTCTTTCCTCCCGCCAAACATGGACTGACTTAGTCTTTGTGGTAGTTGATCCTTTCTCTAAGAAAGTCTGCTTTATTCTCTGCAGGAAGTCGGTCACATCACAAAGAATGGCCAGGTGGTCACAGTCAAGTGCAAACCTCACTTCTGATTGGTCTATACCTACCATAAGATGAAGGCATTCGGTTGTGCAATGTTTGGATTACGCCAGTTCCCATTGCTTATGGTACAGTTGATGGCGTGGGGGCGGGTGGCTGGGGGACTACATTTATCCTGGATTAACAACAAGTATCGATGCGACAAATCAATCTCGCCGATATCGAGCATGGCGATATCCATATCTACCGCATTGCTGTGGCAATAGTGCGTCTCACTACTTGAAGATGACCAAGCCTCGTATTCAGGAGCATGTTGGAAGCCCCGATGACGAATTGAGAGTCTAGGACAGCAGCCTACTATCGCTCATACTGATGGAAGCTTACATGATCAAGAACAAGTCGATGATAAATCCAGCCTACCTCGCTGCTGCAGGCATGCAATCTTGCTCAGGCGTCGCTATCCCTATGACCCCTACCAACGGAAAGGCGGACCGCACTACCATGTCGACCGAAGGCGTTGATGTTAACGAATACCAGAGCCTCGTAGGCAGGTTGAATTAGTTGACCACTAAAGCGAGGCCTGATCTACGCCACGTCACGTTTCGCCTCCAGAGACGCATGCACGCCCCTACTAGGGCAGATGCAAAAGCGTTGAAGGTTGTATACAGATATGGTCCCAGGGCTGACCCACTTGCCGGTAGCGATGGCGGAGTTCTCAAGCGAGTGCTGGCCCTGGCGTCGTATCAGACCCACGATATCTAATCCTGACTGGCTGGATGTGTGTGATTTGGATGTGGATCAATTTAGACCAGGAAACAGTGAAGACTACAGCTTCTGGAAATATACGTTCTGCCCATAGCCCTGAGGTAAGCTAGAAGATCACCAACGGCGATGTTAAATCCATTCATCGCTCAACTGACTTCGGTTTGGTCGGTCTGTGCCTTCAACCATATGATTTCGAGGATGATAACATACGATGGAAGAGACGAGCGACTTAAAAAGAAATGACGCAGTAAAATTATTTTCTAATCTTTTGAGAGATCACGACACCCGACTTCAGTTGAGCATCTTACTACTTGTGAACCACTCTAATATCAGACACACGATATATCCACTTTGCATAGCCGGGATATACATTCCTCGCTCAATCAGACGAAGATGGCAAACATTGCCTCTCCTTGTTCCCTCCTGTACCGCTGATAGCATGCACACAACTCGTCTTTGACCATACGAAAACCGGCCCTTCCTTCCATGACTGGGTTAACCAGCTACGTCTGTCTTGCCTAGTCCATAGTCCATCACTGCAATACCTTTAAAGATGTGGTTCTTCCTAGCTTTCATGGACAAGGCTCCGCAGCCGAGCATATCGACCTTTCATCTCGGTGGAATACTCAAGCGAATACAGCAACTATTGCTGGTCTGAGATCTATCATTGCTAATCCTAACATTAGCAACACATCAAGGGGAAGGAGATACACTACCATCAACTGTGTGAAGAACAACGACGAGTGAGTAGGAATCCAGCCGACGATCTACTACTTCCCCACCTATGCACTTGGCTAGGTGTGTCCTCTATATACTACAGTCAATCCCCTAAATAGAAAGGAATATCTTGGTTATGAAATTCCTCTCAACTGCTTAGGTGGTTGCATGTGGAAGACCCAGAACCACAACATGATGCTACTGACTAACCATCTTGCTGTCACGCTCTTATTGCATGAATGACGATCATGATCGTTCTCGTTAGTACGCTATGCAAAATGATGTTCCTCAGAGATGTGTGGGTGTGTTGTGCTGAGAAAGAACACCCAGCATAGAGTTGAGAGTATAATGAATAAACCGAGCAGAAGATGAAGCTCTGCTCCGTCGAAGACTCTGATCCAACTGCGGACTTTGTCTATGCACGAGACCAATACCCACCAACAATGACTCGGAGTCATGATTTCCGGGACTCTAATCTGCTAGTCCACGAATCATATCTTATTGAAATTGGGTAATGTGTGCTTTGGGAGAGAATCCACGAGCTATCTCCAAGAAAAGGAATACTTCGAAGGACAATCCCACTACGGGGTGGTGATTGCATCGACGTCTCATTTGAAAGATCGTATCGAAAAGCTAAATAACCACATCAACAGTCCGAAAAGGAGCTTTTATAGTGCTCCAAGCTCGTCTTATTGTCTGGTTGGCCGTTGAGCAGAAGACCATGCCGAGGATGAAAACGTGCACCGGATTTTCTGTGATTTGTGTCTTTCAAAGCCGAGGAAGAATCAGATCTGAGATGTAGGAGAACATGAAACCGGTCCTTAAAACATTTTTTTTTTACAAGAGATCCATGGTTAGAAGTCCATTACTTTGTACAATTCGAAAGATAACCATCAATACAGTACACTATTAACTCTCTAACATTTCTTTTTCACTTCATTTATAACTAGCAAGCCCCGGCTACCCCAATACCCCAATTCTTCCATTCCACCAAGTAAGCTTTCCATGTACATAGTGTAGATCCCCCTCGGTGCCAACACTATCTTTCATATTAATTATACCCCACTTCTACCAGATGTATAGCAAACCCACCCCTCGTAGAACTTCCTCGTTAAGTAACCGGTAAGTAAACCATGACAAGTAAGCTTTAGCTTACTAACAACTAGGGGTAAACTCTAAATAAAACCCGCAGTGTGTCAACAACATGTTGATAACTACACTAAGTAAACTTAATATGACATTTGACTTTGGAGCAAGGGAGGGTGGAAAAAAGCCGCGTGGCGGGCCCGTGGAGATGACTCTGGTCTGGAGTACTTCCAACGTATGCGCTAATGTATGTATGCCTTCTTTCTCACTGGGTGTGAAGTTGGGGTCATTATGGTCATGCATTCTTTTTCATCTTGCCTATGCACCCACTACTACTTAAGTGTATGTATGTACCCCCACACAACACCGGGGGCCTGAGAGTACACGCGGTTAACTACGGGTGTTGGTGGTTGAGCAGTATTCATATGCCCATCGCACAGCCACTACTATGATATAGTATGGACAGAGATTAGGATCATGCGCAGACAAGCATCGTGGAGGGATATTTTATTTGCTGCGCATGAACGCCCGCTCAGATACCGACGTGGCTTTTTCATCCATCACAAGAACATGCTGATCACTGCTGATCTGGAGAGTACTGCACTCCGTAATACCGCAGAATACACTGTAAAAAGAAGAAAGTGTAAGAGGGCAAAAATAAAGGCCTCCCATGTGGCTCTTGGTCAATCAGGTCTTGTCTGACGACTCGTTCGCCGATCCCACTCCTGCGGACGCTGGGTGATCTACGGCCTCGGTTCCTTGTGCGGTAGGTGCCGCAGGGATCTCGCTTGATCGGGCACCAGAGGTCAGCTCACTAACTTGGCGTTCTATACGCCGTCAGCACGAAACTCTAAGTAAAGGCTTTTTTTCGAGGCTCTGTGCGCCTCAGTAGTAGTGGATAAAAGGATACGAAGGAGAGTAAAGGAAAAAGGGAGGGTGGGAAATCGCGCACCTAAGTCGCGGATTCGCTGTCGGAGCATTTGGTTTTCGCGTGTCAGCATCGCTGCCTCCGCCTGGTAAAATGCGCTTTCATCCCTGCTTCCCCGCCGAGCTGGGCTCTCACCGGGGCCTGCACTCCAATCCGGTCCCTCTGACCCGCACGACGGCTCGGCGAGTGGTCGGAGATTGGGTGAAGCGGCTTGACTAGACGGGCGGGAGGGTCGCCGGCTGGACAAGGAGGAAGGCAATTGGGTTGACGCCCGACTGCTGGTTGTGGGGAGCGGGGGAATTGGGGGGAATGGGGTCAGCCGTTCCGCAGGACCAGAGTCATCCACCACGGCCTGCGAGTGTTGTTGTTGCTGTTGAAGGTGCTGTAGCTGAGCTTGCTGGCTTCGGATCATGTGTAAAAGACGGTTCTAGCCATGTTCAAGGAGCGTAGTTAGTGGCTATCTCTTACTCATGGTGGTGCGATAGCAACAAAGAATGCGCCGGGCAGTGACACAGTAATAGTTGGATCATACCACTTGTGCTTCTTGTTCTTGTTCTAGTTCCTGATGGAGCTCCCCCAGGGACGGCGCACGTTGATGATGCGGGTCCCCGGTGGCAACGGTCGGGTTCCCCCCGACATTACTGAGCGGACTAGAGGTGCGAAGCCCATTATGGCCAAAGGAAGACCGGTGGTGGTCGTGGGGGGTTGTGGTCGGTTCCCCGGGGGCCGAATCACTAGCGCTGTTATGGCCATTGTTCAGGATTGAGCTGGAACCGGTACGGGACCGGCGGCGTTCCGATCCTGACATGCTGGAGCGATGACTGTGAGAGGGCCGGTGAGGCAGATCAGTGACAATGATGTTGCTATGGTTATTTGCTGAACCGTTATTCATATTGGGCAGGGCTGCAGAAGGAAAGTCTGGCTGAGTATGCTGTGACGATAAGGAATCGGATAAAGTCGGGGGCAGCCGACGTTGACGCGGGGAAGAAGTAGTGGACCAGGTCGGGGACAGAGAGTTGATATCGGGCGACATGACTTGGGGAAGCAGGTTAAAGGGGGCCGGCCAATGGATGACAGTGGGTCTGTTGACGAGGTAGGTCCAACTGAAAAGATCAAACCACCACTTTTTGGCGAGAACCGTTAACTGAACAGTGTGTCTGCGAGCACTTGCTGCCACGGACTGGCTCAAACAATGGGTTGGTTGCAGTGGATTGCAGAGCTGGAGCCGGCGTGCCGCATTCCTGCACCTGAAGGCGGGGGGTGGCTGTACTAAGAAGGCGGTCAACCTTCAAACTGGTCAAAGTCAGACTGACGCTTTGCTGACGGGATGATCACGGGATGCCTAGATTCGGCCTAGTTCTACGAGACACTGGATCCGGCATCAAAGTCGGTCTGGGCCGGGGAAAGCCTGGAGTCGCTTTTCCCTGGAAACGGTGTTGCAAGCCGGTCCGGGTTTCGGTCATCTCCCGAATACCACTTCGAACCCCCACGCACACGTGAACAGATCGATCTGAATGTTTCGGCGAATTTTTCAGTGGTTGTCAGTGGATAAAAAGCCTAAGTGAGATCGCAGCACAATGCAATCGAACATTCTGTTGCCCCCTCCCCCTCTAAAGAATGCTTGCTGGGGCATGAGAGTCCCTGCAGAGAGAACCCGACTCACCGGGCTGTAGTTTGTACACTCAACAGTCAAATTTGTCTGCTTACCAGGGGATCATCCGCCACACCATCTTGGCGTCAAGTCTTGACAAACCTTGAGAGTGGGAAGGCGGCACTATCCGACCATACAGAGCCACCAGGACAAATTGGCCTCGGTGCTAGGCTCTTGGTATAGTAGTAGTAGTACTTTGTACTCCATGTCCCGACAATCGGACCCTTCCAGAGGGTACTACTGCTTCCTGGCTAAGTAGGCTGGAATCCTTCAACATTCCTGGTTCAATCAAATTTTACATAACAGCTGTAGCAACAGCCTATGGTTTATTGTTGCTTCGTATCGGTGCAGACTACCGAAGTTGTTTAGTGGCTTCATTGAAGATGACCTCGCCATCTCCACCTACGAGACACTAGCCAGGGGTCAATCCATTTATCCATGTGAGACCGGGAGGTTCGACCACCCTGTTGGTGGCGGAGTGGTCATCATAAATTTGTGTGTCAACAGTCCTAGTGGAAGTCTTGAGGCTTTGCTTGCTGAAAGCCTGTGTATTATTATCGCTTGGCTTATGTGATGGCGCTCGATCGGCGACGGGTTTCGATACAGCCTTCTAGA